CTTTTTAACAAATATTAATAATTCAAAAGCAACTTTAGTTATTTTATAATAAGAGTGAACTTTATATGGTCTTTTAAGCACTTCTTTTTAAGTTAAAATACTTTTTTTCTTCTTTGATCAATTCGTTATTGATTGTTTGGTCCCTACTTTATAGTAAAAAGTTACACGATTTTTAAAATGTAGGACAAAAAATATGCTTTTCCCTTAATATTTTTACATCATATATCAAACTCAACCCAATCATTTGCCCTATCAAATCTAATAAACTTTGAAATTTACTTTTAAAGCAATTTAAGATTTCGATACAAAAAAAGCGGACATGTCTTATTCCTGTATCTTTTACCCACCTATTAAAACATGAAAATTGTTTCATATTTTTCAATATATTTTGGAAATTTTTTTTATTGAACTTTTTATCTAGTTGAAAGAATATTGGTTAAGTAATGACTTACAATTATTTTCTGGTATCATTATTAATTTAAATTATTAATAAGTTTTTAAAAATTTCTTCATCATCATTCTTTTCAAAAAAAAAATTAATAATAATAATAATAATATCACCATTAATGTTAAGAACAAAATTCAATAATATCACTGAATACTTGTAGAATTTTCGCTATTTGATTTAAAATTAAGTTTAAATATGTTTTAATTCTAAATATTTGGATGTTTAGTTTTTATTTTAGTCCCTTATATTTTAATATTTTCAATTATACCTTTCTTTTCTTTTTTTTCCATTTTGAGTTCAACCATTGTGGGTGGAGGACTCAATCATCCACTTTTAGAATAATAATAGATGTTTTATCCGCTCAAATCGGTTTCATTAATAGATGTTAAGTGTTTCGGGTGGTAACCTTACATGACATGTTACTTTGTGAATTGACATAAATTTAAAGGAGAAATTAGGTCATCTGAGAGAAAAAAAAAATTAATTTCTCCAAATTTCTAAGTTGGCAAAATTTTCGATTACTTTACTTAATTATCATGCCACGTAAACTTACCCTAAGTCACATTTAACATCTATTAACAGAGTATAATAGAAAAACATTAAAATGTAATGGATTAAATCAAGACTTTTTAAAGAATAAGGATTAGATTGAAAAGACAGTCAAATTGAGAGATTAAAACATATATTTGAAAAATTGAATAACAAAAAATTCTTTTAAATTTATTATATCATTCTTAATGAAATTGAAACTCTTAAAATAAAATATAAATAAAAAATAAAATTTATTTTGAAAATCTTTTTCAAACGAATAAAATAAGAAAAAAGAGTTAAAAATAACTTTTAATCCCGATACTTTAATTACTTTCAAAAATGTACTAAAGATTTAGTTCCTAAATCTAAATTTGTACTGATTTAGTTTCTATGCTTTTTGAATTTGTAACAATTTAGTTCTAAAATTTAATATGCAACATTGTTTCTTATTTATATATCTCTATAAAATGATGAGATACCAAATGTGTTTTTTAAGGCCCATTTGATAACGGGTGTAAAAATTATCAAAGTGAGCATAGTTCAATAGTAATTGGACTATATCTTCAATCATAGGTTCTGAGTTCGATCTCTACTCTTACATGTTGTATTAAAAAAAACCAAATATTTGTTTTGAAGGGCCGTTTCATAATATTTCCATTTTTGTTTCTATTTCAAAATAGAATTGCGTAGGCAAGGATCGTTGAAATATTTTTATTTATGTTTTAAAACAAATAGAAAACCGAACAAAGAAAACAAAACAAGTTTTCAAAATTTCACTGAATTTCGAAAGAGAGAGAGAGAGAGATATAAGAAAGGGGAAGAAAATTATACCGAAACAGAACAGCTAAGATGAAGGTGAGAGCGGGAATGAGGTTGCTAATGGCGGAAGCAAGCGTCGGCGAACTGTACTCGAGACCTTTATACGACAACAACTGACCTCCCACCCTTCACAAGCACAACAGATTCAGAAATCGCACAGAAAAAAAACAAAGTTCGAATCGAATCGGAATCGAAATCGAAATTGAAATCGGAAGTTTGCAATAAAATTAATTCTCCGGCCTACCCGATCGAGGAGAGGATTCATTTGGGAATGAGATAATTGTCAACTTGGTTTCCAAACACATTTTTAAATTCTAATTAACTCGTAGTTTACTTCTTACCTACTTCTCTTTTCAAATTTGAATTTACACATTTTTCAAACACATTTTCAAATCAATCATCAATCAAACTTTCCAATCAAATTTACACAATTTTCAAACACCTCAACCTCGTGATTGTGTCATTCATCAAAATTATCTACCAATGAGATCTATATGTGCTTCATATTCTACTCATTTTAGCAACTACCTTCAAAACTTTCAATCTAAGAAGGCTGGGGAAAACTATTGTAATTTATATCGAAGTTATCAAGATAGTGCACTAGATCGTCTGAGATCATCTTTTTGGTATTAATTAAGTTACCTATTCTAATTCATGTTTCGCCACTATTTGTATATAATAATATTTTATTTTTAAAAAGTTCTAAGATTATTTCAATCTTTATTTATGTCAATATTTCACATATACTGTTCAATCGTGTAAGTAAAGATTAGATTGGATTAGAAATTATCAATAAAGCAAATTTCAAATCTGATTAGTTATACTTCATACAGTATTAAAATTCGAATGTTTCATTGAATAGACTAAGATTACAATCATCGAGGTTGTGAGAAATTATAGACTGCAGTGTATAGTAAGAACATGATGAAAATAAAATAACCTTAAAGAAGAAAAAGAAAAAAAAAAGACATGTCGACATTTGAGTCGACATGTCGATATTTTGTCGACATTTCGACATGTCGACGACATAAGGGGAAAATCGATTTTTCCCCCTATTTCGATGTCGACATGCTCGACACGTCGACATGTCACGGACATGTCGACATGTCTCTCGACATTTTGAACTATGATTATAATATTAGTTCAAATACTATTCTAGTTCGCTCTTACTTTTAACTTGCATTGATTTGGATCACTTTTCAATCTTGTATCGTAACGTTCTCGATTCATGTTTCTGTATCTTATTTTCAATAAGGAGAAATATAATTTTTTTTTACTAAAATGAAATATTTACTAGCGATCTCTCTGAAACCATTGCCCAACGCGCAATTTCATGAGTCAAATCGTTCCCAACTCTCGCAATATGGTGAATCGAAATTACACCGGCGTCTGAAGCACGAGTTTTCGCCTCGTTGATCAACCATCGAATCTCAGTGAGGTCTTCAGCATCTCCATTCAGCAAACGAACCACCTCGAGGGAGTCTGATTCAGCTATACTCGGGTAAAAACCTCCTTCCTTCAAACCTTTAAAACCTTCACAAATAGCCATTGTTTCCAAACTCTAACGCAGCCTGGAATGATGGTCTCGGAACAGGAGGAATCGGTTGGGTGATTCGAGATTGGGATGGTCAAATTGGGCATGCAGGTTTGTCTCTTTATAGCTGACAAACGAGAGGTCAAATTTTTGGAATCTGACCCTTCCTTGATTAAAAACAACAAAAAAAAAAAATAGAAAAAGAAACATATAAGTGACAATGGAAACAACAAAGGTTCAACAAGTCACTCAAGAAGGCATCTTTTATGTTAAAGTTTTAGTTATAATATTCATAAAAATACAATGATTATATTATTGAAAAAGAGAAAAGGTAATAAAACGTTGTACAAATTAGAAAAACAAAGCAGAAATTAGTTTCAAATGTTTGAATCATTACATAGTTTACTCAATTATATTTACATAAATAACATAAAATAAATGTATATTTTCAAATATAGCATAAAATTTTATATTTTAAAAAATAACACATTCTAAATCAAACTTAAACTTAAATGTAATAAAAAATATAAGAAAAGTCAAATTTATGCTACATATTAAAAAAAATGAAAAATTATTATATTTTTAAAAATATATATTAAATGAATTTATAATATATAACGTGATTTCTAATCATACCACCAGCCCCACAACTTTTGGGCATAATAAGTCATGTGGTTCTATAACAATATTGAGTGGCTCTTCAAAGAACTAAAATGCCTAAAACGACAAAATAATAATAATAATAATATATTATCTTTTAAAGATTATTTAACAAAAAAAAATATTTCATTAGAAAAGTATCCTTTTCACCCAATTTAATGGGTAAGGTATAATATAATCTTGAACTTAATAAATGATATAAAATTCAATTAATAAAGCAATAAAAAAATGTTATCCTCAGTAAATTTAGTAGTAAAGACATGTAATTACCTTCTTTGAAATTGAAGGTTCAAATTCTCATCTCTTAGTATTGAAAAAAAAAAGATGTGGTGAAAAATTAAAATACTAGAATTCAGCCACAAAATTCAACATATAAAAAATTCTCAAATTTAGTAACAAAAACGCTTAAATTCAACTAATTATTGATGTTATATAAAGTAGAACATAAATTCAAAATTTTAGTTATTTAATATTATATCATAAAACTAAAGCAAGCTCGAACAGCCATTAACCATTTCAACATTCTTAATTCATTTAAAATTTCTAATTGAATAGTGAGAAAAATGCTGTAAAAAGTCGGAGTATTGATTAAACAAATTAAGTTAGTAAAATGGATAGAATACAACACCAAAATTAGAAGAGATATCCCTATTTCCAAGTTAATTAGGGTTTAAAATTTGTTGAAAAAACTACATAATTATGTCCCTAAAATTTGACCTATCACTAAAGTCTAAATTTTAAAATTCAACCATTTTGCCCTCTAAATTTCAAAAAAATCACCAAAAGTAATCCTGATTGCTTTCCGTTAGCTACAACAACGRAAAACTAACCGTTTGAACGCATAAATTAAAATTTCCAACTACTGCAGACTTGTTTCAAGCTTTYAACTAAGTAGCAGACCTTTGGTGCAGTCTTCTTTTCGTTCAATAAAAATTTTTAATTGACTTTGATTCAAGATCCTCCTTTCAAAGAGGTTCCAACTAAGAAAAATAGAGCAGACCAATATTYAATGAAACACAAATTCAAGGAGAACTTTACTTTAAGATAGCTCGGACAAGAAATTCCTCTCTCGGAAGTTTGGGACATGTCCAAAAGAAGAGAATGGATAAAAGGAGGTCAATGGAGAATCTGAATTCTTACCTTTGTCTCAGTACTTCCTCCTCTTCCTTCTCAGATTGGGCATGGCACTTAGAGCTCCTCCAAATGCACTTACAGAATGATCCTTCTCTTCTTCTTGCACACCCTCACCTCCCTGGGAAGAGTTTGGATTACATACACGATTTGGGTTGCCCGTATCGAGCAGAGAGTCTACACGTGCATCAGTACCCTCCTTGTTCTGGACTGAACTTGTACATTTTTCGGGATGGAAGGTTGATTGATCAGGATCATGTTCAGAGCGATCTTGGAGATCTTCTGAGACAGTTGCTCGGCCGGGGTACGCGTCCGGGTCAATGCATTCATTGTCGTCGTCTAAGCAAAATCCACCCCCCATTCTGAGGTAGTCTTCACTGTTGTTAGCCTCCAAGGAAGGATCTATATCCTGGCTCATTTCATCTTCTACTGGACAGAAACCACCTCCAGTTTCAAAATAATCCTCTTGTGGAGGTCTCTTAGGAGTTCCGAGATCACGTTCTGTTTTTTCGGATTGGTCATGGATCACATCATGCTCTTTGGCTTCATCATTGGAGAATCTATCACCATTATAGTCTGATGGTTGATCTGCATCACCCATCGTATAACTTACAGATTTTCGGATCCGAGATGACTGTATCGGTAAACATTCTAGTTAGGGAAAATTAAGTCATCTAAAAAWAAGAGATCGCTACCCAAACATCACATTTATTAATCTCAGATGTCTCAAACAAGAAAGAAACGAACAATTACCTCAAATTTATAAGCAAYATACATTTCATCTAATTAAAGACCCAAAGCATAAATACAAATACAAGACATGGATACGATATGACACGAAAACGATGACACCTGATTTTCTAAAAATATATATGACACGAATATAGCAATGGCACTATTATTAAAATAYATACCATTTTTGTACGTACAAAAAATTTAAAATCAATAAGTTTAAGCATTTTTATGCTGAAAAAATGAGTTTGATGTGTTTTGCTTTAACTACTATTTATGTCTTTGTCTATAATACGTTCAAGTGTTCTATATACGTGCCTAAAAGTGTCAATCCATATTTAATTTGTAAAACTAGTTTATGACTCACGTCTATTGAGCTAACAAGTGTCTAATATGTGTACAATAAGTGTCTGTGGTTTTTAGTTAAAGACTATATGCATTTTAGTTAAAGACTATATGAAAACTCAGAAGTGATGCCCATTGACCAAGTAACTGGATAGAGGTTAAAGACATAAGAACTGTAAATATTAACATAAGAATAAAAAGGAATCAGCCACTTTCAAAGTCAAACTTACTCTTCTCCTTTCTTGAGGCTCCTCCAAGTTCACAAAATCACATTTCTGGTCATCAAATTCATTTTCATCATCACTGGAGCTGGTTTCAACCAATTCAGTAGTAGGACTTCCCTTCATCTTTCCTTTCGGTTGCAATCGTCCTCTCCCTCTCCCTTTCCTTTCACCTCTACCTCTCCCATTCTTATGTGATCCCTCATTTCTATTCCGATTTCCTTTCTCCTTCATTGTTAGTTTTTGACCCTTTGCAGGTTGAGATTGCTCTCCATGTAGCTGCCTTTTCCTTGATGGTTTTCCGAGCCTCTTTTCTACGTCATCTACATTCGAACAAGAACCTTGTATTTCTGATGAACATTTCTCAGATTTCTCCTGAGGTTCAACAGAAAGTTCTCTCTGTTTATTTGCAGAAACAGCCCGCACAGCGTCATCCATCAATACAGCAGACTTGCTCCCAGTAATACCTCTAACAGCTTTCTTTATTCTCTTACTGCGGATTTTAGCAAATCGTTCGTCGAAAGTGTAAAATGTCTCTAATCGAAGTTGAGTCTACAAGAAAACAATAAATAAAAAGATGAGAGCAAAGACAACTTTTTCTCATCATTTTGTGGACTATGGGGAAAAAACATAGGGGCAAAAGCACACAAAATAAAACATCCTTTCATCTTTACAAACATGAGAGACAGAAAGTAAGTAATTAACCTCATGTTTGCTGTACTCTTTCAAGACTGGCAAAAGCAATTCATCGGCCTTTGAGTTATCCCACCCAAACTTTTCCCAGCATAATCTGCAGCATACATAGCGGGTTTACTTTGGAACTTTTCATTCAGAAAACGAAATAGAACGGATGTACAAGGGTAAACAAAGAACCAGCCCAATGGCAGGGGATCCACCTAAAGGAAGGGACTCCAATCCAAAAGGATTACACTAACTGATAATTAAAAAAACTTAGAAACCAACCCCATTAATATAATAAGCTCCAATTTTCCATCGATCCCTTCACCCTAAAGATTCTACTATTTCTCAAAATCCATATCCCTACCAAAGGTTTACTTGTAAATATATATGACATGTCCAGGGGATATTCCATTGTCTTAAATATAAAATGTAGGCTCAATCCATGAATGTAATAAATTGCAGAAAACATTATATATAATATATCATAAAGCTCAACTTCGAGACGTCAATGGACCCAGAAACATTAATGGGATTTTTTGTGATGCTTTCAAGAGATAAATATTTTTTTTTTCGAGGCAACTGCCTCACCAGTCACCCTACAACCATTTAATGCCGGGAAACACATAGAAATTACTATTTCTAAAGTAGGTGGCCATCATGGGATTCGAATCCATTTCCTCCTAATTAACCCTAGTCCCTTTGGACCAATGAGCCACCCATGATGGTTGCTTCCAAGAGATAAACATTACAAATAGAAAAGGCTCTAGGTTAGAACTAAAGATAGCAGGAGACATATCCATGCTCGGCTCTACTGAAAAATACTAAAGATGACGAAAAAGAACCTCCATGTTCTCAAATAAGCAATCAACTGCGTGATGTACAGTCATCCATTCAATAGAGAAAAGAAGACCAAAAGAAACAACCGTATTTTCAAGGCCAAAGAGAAATCATTTAGTAGTTTCTTTGGACAATTTCTCCTTTTCAGCTCTCTCATGGTGTAGAAATTCACCTTACTTCCATAGCTACAGTTCATCTTCTGTTTAGGCCAATCGGAAATGCTTTTTGTACCTTCCCAGGCTTGAAATTGATTTCTCCCCATATTTGTGTAATTTTATCATATCAATTAAATGATGGAATGGTTCTCGTTTAACAAATATGTATAATAATAATAATAATAAAAATAAAAAAACAGTGTGGGTGCGGCGTGCGGGTATTCTACATAGTTTCCAATTCATCTAGGGAAAAGTAATGATGACATGACTATGAATGAATCTTTAATACGGAGATGCCTCTCTATATGAAGATTGCTGCTAAAATTGAAAATAAACAAACCATCGTAATTATGTCAAAAATATAAGATTTACCCACATTAGAAGCATATGGTCTCACCTGCGGAGGACAAAATKGTCTGGCTTTCCCCAGGAGAAAGATTCTGCTGACTTGTCCACTTGTGGGCAGGTGTAAGCAGAAATGACCRTTTCACTAGGAAATTCAGAAGGGATGTGCCAGTTCTTGCTAACATTTCTCTAAATACAGAATCAGATAATGGCAACTAGGTGAGAAAAACTTGCGTATAAAATAACCTCCATTATCCCCTAATAAAGAAAATAGGCTAAATCTGGTTAATGTTTAGGCGTTTCTTTGATTTAAGTCTCTATAGTTTAAAAAGTTTCAATTTAGCCTCTCATATTATAATATTTTTCAATTGTACTGTTMTCGCTAATAAATGTTAAAATTGAATGATGATAAACTTTCATGAAATGATACTTAGTAAGTCGGCTGAAATTTAGAAGAGAAATTAGACCTAAAGAAAGAAAAGCCAATTCTTTTTTGGGCAAATTCTTGGAAATTTGGTGGCGGAATTAGCAAAATTCCTCACTTAAAAAGTGGCTTAATTCCTTCTCAAAATCTCTACTGACAATAAGGGTGAATTTTATATATCTTTTAAGTTGAGTACTTTTTTAAGTAATATCTATCAAGTGCTTAACCTACATAAACTACATGAGTGACTTTAGTTTTATATATATAAGAAATAAACTACAACAGGGTAAAGACACCCCAATCCAAGAGAGATACAAAAAGCCTCAGCAATTAGTCAATAAAGACGGAGAACTATAGTAATAAAGAGGAGAGGATTTACATCAAGTGATACCATAAATAAAAATAAATAAAAACCTACTTCAAAGAACCTTTTTGATAATCATCACACAAGTATTTCTTCAAAAAGGAATTTTAAAGCAATACAATTTTTCAAAAATATTTTTTATTTATTACCAAACATTTTAGATTTTTTTAAAATCACTTTCAATTATAAAGTCAATGTACTAAACACCCTCTAAATTAGTAATTCTTCCAAAAGTGCTCAAGAAAAAAAAAAGTTTATTTAAAATACACATTTTTTAAAGTCATCCCAAACATATCATGTCAGGTAAGATTATCGTAAGCCCATTTTAACATCCAAAATACATAATTGAAAAGGTTAACTATGAGAAACTAAATTAAAACTTTTTAAACAATTAGGAATAAATTGAAAACACACCCCAAATTTAGGTACCAAAACACATATTTAGCTAAGAAAATATTAAAAACAGAATGTATAGAGTAGGAGAGAAATATCTCACATGCTTCTTCATGAAACTCTGTTTAACATCTATGTTTTCCTTCAGATCTTCAGAAATGTCCTCTCCAGATGCAGAACCGTCCCCAACACTGCTATTTGAGCAGGTTGTGTCCTTCTCACTCGCTTTTGACCCTCTTTTTCGAGAACTCAACCCTGTTTGTGCACTAAGCGTGCCTAAGATGCTTGGATCTGGCGATTCAATCCATTCTTTGAATTTTTGGAGTCCATCTTCCTCTGGAAATGCGTTCATAACCTCAATGGCATTTACTATGCCAATCCCACTATATCATGCAATTGAAATTTGTCTTGATGGAGAATTTGTTTCCAAGCAAATGATAAGTTCTTATCAATAAGGCAGGAACATTCATGTTTAAGTTACCTAATGCCTTCTGTATAATCACTTCCAAGTAGTAGTGCCATGCGAATTATCTTGTCTCGGTTCAGACCAAGCTCATTTTCAACATCCTGAAAGTAGACGCACAATAGGCAGATTGTTAAGCAACAAACTACATGGAAATCTTTGATACTTTTCAATAACAATTCTACTTAATGAATGGGAAAAAGCAAAGGGGAGAAAAAAAAAATATCCATTGTCAGTTCCAAAGATAAATTATTTAAAAAAAAAAATGAACACAGGTTTCATTGAATACTGAAAAGTTACAAAGTAATATCAAGAAAATAAATTCTCCTAAATCACAAGCTAAACCATATAATATAACAAAGGAAGTCCCCCCAATTCCAATCTTCGTCAATTGATGAAGAACCACAATTTTAACCCATCAAAACCTCACCAATAAGCACCCCAAATTTGAATTGATAACAAAATATTATAATTATAAATAAAAAAAAGCATTAGAAAGGGAACCCCATGAAGAGCAATCTGAATATAGGAATAAACTGATTAAAGCCATAGAGAAAATCTTTAGTGGAGGAATAAACTGATTGTATCACTCCCAGATTATAAACCTAATGATGCAGAGAACTTTCATAATCATTGATCAGTGGATAAGATAAGCATAGAAACACATTCCATCATGACCATGCTTTGTGACCCAAAACAAGTTGATCTATGTCTATGCCACCCATTAAATAGTCAAGCATCAAAATAATGGTTAAAAATAAAATAGCACCACCAAAAGTTTTAATCAAATGTGGGTTAGCATGGTAAAATTGATAACAACAATAGAGAGAGCGAGTATGCATGCAGCTCTACCAGATTCAGACCTTCATAAAATATGTCTCAACATATTTGCGGTCATCAAATATATTCTTGTAAACACTTCTTGCCCCAAACAAGAAAACGTCAGAGTCATCAGTCACCACTCCATCAACGAGATTTGCAAGTTCCATATAAGCACATTGAGCTTCCGCTTCCATAGGAGCAATAATATATGGTAAGCCAAACATTTGCAATAATTCCTGTAGAGAATCAGATGAATCAAAATATTCAATTTTCTCCATTCTCAAAAAGAGAGAACTCAAATAGCACATAAAACAGACTTTATTTGTAATAATTAAAGAATGTTGTGTTCGGTAGTGTTAAGAGAAAGTTAAGGCACGCCAAACTGAATAAATTGGGCATGGCAGTGAAAATCTCTTGGACTACCAAGAGTTAATGGGTTAAATCCCTATGAGTCCCTCTAATCACAAAAGCATTCTCACCACTAAAAATTGACCAAATCATGCAAATTACTCAACCCTTCTCATACCCTCTCAAAAAATAAATTGTTGGTACTTCTGGGAATAGATTTCTTTTAAGTGTATTATAAAATGAAAGATATAATAAAATAAACAGTTTAAAACTTACAAAAATTGACTTCTTTCCTCACTAATATGATGAGAAAAAACCACACAGACCTGACATTCTGCAAACATTTCACTGCYGACAGATTCAGCATTACGCTCAAGCCTTTTCTGCTCATCTCCAAGATTCAAACGTTCCTGCTCCAGAATTGWAATTCTATTTGTTAATTCATCCTCTGTAAACTCAATCTCTGCATTGCTTATTACTTCAACTGCAGGTTTTTGCGCATCATTCTCCTCCAGCAAAATATCACTACTAAGCTCGTCAACAGGAAAATTCTGATGATTTTCGCTGGCAACAACTTTGGGGGAGGAATCAACTTCAGGAGTGTAACTGTCTTCCATCCCAACCATATGGCAAGGAGGTTCAGTTAATTTATTATTTATCCTATCCCCAACCAGAACTGCACCAGATGCATCCCTTGATAAGGGCTTAAGAGTATCATCGTTTTCATTTGAATCTTTATGAGAAACATCCTTATAAGAAGCATCCAGCTTTTCTGTAACTGTGTGGGTTGTGGTATCTAATAACACAATACATTCTGAACATTGCTTTTCTTGAGATGAACTCTCAGTTGTCTCCTGGATATACAGTTCAGAGTAAGGACCCTGCACTTCACATAAAAGAATTTTAGATTACAAACTAGAGATTAGATTACCTTCCTCCCAGTAGAATCATTGGCTTTTGAACAACTCATTCCATCAGCACCATCCACATTTTTTAGTCCAATCACATTCTCATTTTGGACACTCGTACATTGTTCAAGCATTTTCCCAGCACTTTCTGGTTTTTGATGTTCAGATAGTACAGAGCCAGGTTTTCTATCTCCTACATCTTTCAGACTTCTTCTTATTGCCTCCTGCAAATCTGCCTCTTCCTCCAAAGAACCTTTGGAAACCGACTTTCCTGATTCAGCAGCTCCAAAAGGAACTGGGTTGACATGATCACAAACTCCTTCCTCCCATTCAACTTCACTCTCATCACTAACTCTTCCTTCCACAAACGGGTGATCATCCACTTCAACATTTTTTGGACTATAAGTTTTCCCTTCGACTGCTTCCTCCCAACCAGAATCTGTAGTACCATCAAAAGAGAGTTTTTGGGATGACTTGTCAAAAGAAGCCACTTGTATAGGATTTTCAGCGGCTAAATGAGTAAATAGATCATCATCACCATCAAAAGACTTATCACCCTCATCTTCAAGCAATATTTCTATAGCAGTGTCTTCATCTAGCATCGACCCTCGGCTTCTCAAACTCAACTGAACAGATTCACTAACACCTTCATATGGAGTATCTAAATCTTGGCTTTGAGAAGAATGACTTTTTGGATTACAAATTTCACTATTTTGCACAGGTTCATGATTCACAACCTCATTTGCACTGGCATTCTTCTCTATCTCTTTCATCAAATCCAAGTTCCTTTCTAAATCACGTGTCATGCGCATCCCCATCGCCCTCACCCTGCTAACTCGAACACGTCCTCTCTCATCCAAAAACGTCTCAATATTTTCCTCAAAAACCCCCGTCTTATCAGGGGTTGATCGAGCCAAAGCATTGGATGTACTAGGAACTTCTGTATTATTCAGGGAACTTAAAGGTTGCTGCCCTCTTGGTGCCTGTAGGTCTTCGTCTCCGCTCTTCTCAATTCTAGATGCAAGTACCCTGAGAAAATCAAACACCTCATGAATCTACTATATTCTACAAGCCCAAAACAAGCAAGTATTCAATGGAAAAAGAACAACTTAAATCACACCCCAATGCACGTCCAGACGACTTTATCATGTAGATTGATCTCATAAAATACAGAATTTGAGCAACTCACTGTTTATCACCCGTAAAGGATGATGAAAATATAAATTCCCTGTTTGCTTCAGAGGCAATTCTCGATGTCTGTACACCACCAACGCCTCTCCCAGAAGCAGCCTTCTGCACTTGATCAATATCCCGGCGAAAAGCAACAGTTTTAAGATATGCCTGTATCTGTAGCTCGGAAAACTTTGCAGGGTCCTACAATAAATGAAATCAACTAGTAAGATGACATTAGCAGTAATTAGAGGGGTAATAGAAGTATACCCAAAACCAAAACAAAAAAAAATATATATATATATAYACACAAATTGCAACAGTGACTTTTCAAAGATATTGAATAAACTAGCATCAAACTACAATAGATCTCATCAACAATTAAGGGAGTCGAAAAGGATATTAAATCTACCTAAAAATAACAATTACTACGGTAAAAGCGATATCTCATCTTCCCCCTTGTACTTCTCTTTTTTGTAATGAGAAGTTTCTTTATATGTGTATATATATATAGATAGATAGATAGAATCAAGTCTTGCAGTTAATGTTCTAAAATATATGACAGATGCATATTGGACCATTTCAGAACCAACCTTCTTGACCCTTTGATATTTCTGTCTGTTCTCTGCCATTAATCTCTCTCTCATCTGCACCAAGAATATATTTGCATTAACATGTGCCAGCATATAGTTAGATGACTACGACAATCATAATGATACTTGATACATATCCGGAASTTACCTGAACAAGAAGATCAAGTTGAACTGATGGTGGCAAAGCAGCCAACACAGAAGGGTCGACTACCCCGTCCATTTCAGGCTGTCCAAAGTAAACACAAACAATATGACAGTCACGATAGATAACTTATAAGTTGAGGACCCCCAGCATTTCAGTAAGCCTAAGATTCACAATCTCAAAATGATATACTATCTAATTCGTAATTGTCTGCACAAAGAAATGGAGGAAAGATTAAAGTATTGTAGTTCTAAGAATAATTGTAAAAAGTTTGTAGTTTTGAAACTATTTAAAATGAAAATGATAATTTTGAAACTATTTATAAAACTATGGCAGTCTCTGTTCACGTGTGAAATTGAAAGGATGATCTCAGGTATATTCGGAACTTTTTCTTGTCTTGAAGTCAGCGTATCCAAGTTTATTTCCTGAAGCTTTTAAGTTGGTAAACATGAGAAGAGAATTTAAGAAAGCCACCATGGTATGATGGTGAAGAATATTTTGTTTGACATAAAATCATATGAACTACAGAAATCTGTCAGCTATAGCATACCAAAATCATCTCTTCATCTTCATCATCTGTATCTTCATCCAGATTTGCAGCAGCAGATACGGATGCATTTTCATTCAAACTTCCTGCTTCCTCTGCTGCAATGGAGGCCGCCAACCTAGAATGATCACAACAGAAAAACATGCAACTAACACAACCCAATGACAATAGAGTTGTAACCCAAGTGTACGTGCACCCTACATCTCATCTAAATTTTGCTGATGGGCACCTCTTGAGGCCACTTCCATCCTTTCTGTATCACTCCCCACTGCATGAATTTCATCTGACAAAATCTTCTTGCCCTTTGAGTCATTCTTGTATTTCTGTTTCTGGATCCAACATCCTGTTCATCAGGTCTCTTATTTTTCTCCCTCCAATTTATTGAGAAGAAATATTAGACCCTAACCTGAAGTAGTTCATATTGTATTGATGAAGGCAGAGTAGAAAATACATCTGGATCAACTTCATTCATCAATGGCTGAAAATGTTGGAAAAAAAAAAGACAAATTAAAGTCTTTTTTTTTTTAGATAAGAAACATATCTGTATTGATAAAAAAAAGAGAAACAAACTAGAGGCTGGGGTAGAGGGAACCCCACCAAACAAACTAAACAACCGCTTCCCAATTGTTCATAAACATGGAAAGGTTGTAGTTACAAAAGAATTTACTATAAGTGATGCAGGGACATGCTTTGAGATCAAGAAATTCCTCTAACATCAAGAAGACAGAGCAGATAAATCAATGTAGTAGAGATACTCTTGAAGTGTAGAAAAAAATATTCCCCAAACAAGAGCAGGGACACGCTTTGAGTTTTATAACCTCTCCCGGTTTTAAAAAGGGAGTTATGTAGTTTTTTTTTTTTATGAGAAACCAAGCTTTTCATTGGGACAAATGAAAACAAAAGCACATGAACAAGGGCATACCAAAAAAAACAGCCCGCAAGGAAGAACCCCACTAAAGAAAGGGTCACTTGAGTTATAAAGTACAGACACTTGAGTTTGGTAAATGTCAACATCTGAAATACATCACCAACAATACATCACTTCTTCATATATATATATATATACTCTCTTTTTTTCCTGTTGTTGCAACTGAGGAAACTGAAAACGTATCCGGGCAACACACAACAGAAGCATTACAGAAAGATGAAATTTGAATAAATAAAAGTAGATTTGTTAGTTCAATTTATACTAAGTTATTTTCTTCAACTTCTCGCAGGTGTCCCTGTATTTTACATAAAAATGCTAGCTCCTTTGATTAAAAGAATACATATTCTTCAATAAAAATAAATAAATAAGGAAAACTGAAATTYCAGAGAAAAGCATCGGCATAAAGAGAATAAATGAACCAACATAATGCAATGCCCCAAACAACAATGCAAAAGCTTTACAAATAAAATTTTGAACACGAAACCATTACATTGATAAATACCCAAATGAATTTGAAGTATTGTTTTGATAAGATCAGCACGTGAGCTAGACATAATAATCATCATGTTACATCCACATGCCGGAAACTTACCAGTATTGACTCTTCACCACTGTTGTCTTTAGCAAGAGCAGCACCAGAAAAAGAGGAAGAGCTGCTTGTGAAAAATCCATTCTCTTCAGCCATGATCGATGCTGCCAACCTAATTGATCAACCAAAAAACCTATCAAACCACATTCTTCTGAGTATTTTCATATTTTAGTAATATACACAGAGACATATCTCACATTCCATCTAGTTTTTCATGATCGCCACTACTTGTGGTTGTGATGCTTTTGTTCCTTCCAGAAGTACCATCTGCAGTTCTTTTATGGTTTGGCAAGTTCTTCTTTTTTGGTACATCCTGCCTCCTCTGCTGTTTCTGGTTCTGAAGATCCTCAGCTAGTTCTTTCAACCTCATTGCCTTTAGCTATTGAACAAAAGGTAGAAATTAAAAAAGTTCAAAAATTTAACTCTCAACTGCAAGTTGCAACTTAATTTAAAAAAATAAAAAATAAAAAGGACCTAGCGGAAATACCACTATTTAGTTGGGAGAAAAACAACGGTTATGAAATATTAGATAAACTATGACTTATATCTTCATCTTCGTTGAGATGAAGATTTCACCTTTCAACTGAACACACCTATCTGGGAACATGGTAGTGATTTGCTTCCTATGTATTACTGAATGGTAAAACTGCATACATCCAAAACACTACTAAAATTTAGCACCACTACCGTCCAGTACAATATTCATTAATATAACAAGTAATGTAAAGTGAAATTCCATTTTATTTTGGTGTAAAAGACAAGTTCTTCCCATAAAATCAGAATATCAACGATGGAAATCAGCTTGAGATATTTCTGTTTAATCACACTTGGCCCCTCGAAAAACACACTTCTGAATTCTGCTAAATAAAATTTCAAAACACGAGCACGATAATTTCTGTAGACGAATGGACAAGTTCCAGCATACAACTCCAAAATTTAAGACTCACCAAGGTCAAGAACATGAATAAATGATTAAATATACCACAACATATCAACTTAAGCTTTAGGACTTGCGGTGATTTAACATCCTATTACTGTATATATAATTGAGCGTGGAAATCAACAAAAAAAAAAAAAGCGGAACTACAAGCTATAAGTTGAAAAAGACCGGAAACCAAACTCACATGATTGAGAAGCAATTTCTCGGCAGTCTTACGAACTTTAGCCTGGGCGTTCTCACGCTGCCTACGGCGCGCAATCAAAGTACGGCGCTTGAGAGCGGGGGTTGCACCATCAAAGACGAAAACAGGCTTAGTCCGCAAGAATAGAAGTTTACAAATTCGGCGAAAGAAACCGAGCAAATGGGCGTTTCGGACCATTTCCCCTCTCTCGTCGCGCATTGCCTTTATGAATTGCACCATCCAGATGCTCGCATCTTCAAAGGAAAGAAACAAACAAAACATTTTGAAAATTGCAGAGGTGTGATTGGAAAGGAGAGATTTGAATATACCGATGGCGAGCTTCTTGCCGGCTAGGGTTTCGACGGAGACACGGCGGCCGACGGGGGCCAGTAGCTCCCAAAGACCCTGCACTCCCATTTTTCATCCGCTTGACCTTCACGATTCTGCTTCAGTTCCTCGTTGCCGCCAACCGCTGGAGAGAACTCCAGCTTATTTATACGCGATACTAATTTCGCCCATCAGACATTTGAAATTTTTGGGATACAAAAACGACGTCGTCTCTCTCCCCCTAACGACGTCGTCTCTCGCAAGATTTTGGTTCAAATAATCAAGTAATATCACCAATGCTTAACTGGCAAACTCTTTTTCAATAGTGGTAAATACGAAGATATTTATCTATTTATCAGAAATCATCCGGACCATATTTAATTCAATGAAATGGAAATGAATTTTTCCATTCCGTATTTATCAAATTGTAAGAATGGAATCAAATGGCAGGACACACTCTAAACTTGATAATTTCATTATTAAAATGAACAATCTCATCCCTCTCTAGTACCAGATCAATATCATTCACGTTCCTTATTTCATGGGATCACACACGTTTATTATAGCTACTTTGCTATTATTATCTTTTCTTTATGGGCTTATAACCTTTTTATTAATTATTTTTATCATTTATATTACTACTAATTTTTCTTCCAATAAAAATTGATACAACTTCTATGAGTTATTTTATTATAGAATATTATAAATTTATATCTAATTTAATTTTTTTAATTTTACTTTGTTATTATTAATTAATTACCAATAATTTTTTTAATATAATTGATTGGTATTAAATATTGAATAATAAAATTTAATAATATTTTATATTAAATGATAGTTGTTCTAATAAAAACGTATCTTAATTGATGTAATTTTATTTTAATTATTTATTATTTATTAATATTCAATAAATTGTTATACTAAAAATAAAATAAATTAGAATTTATTATTATTTTAATTAAGAAAAAGATTAGCACAGTAATGTATTTGTAATTAGCAAGAAAGAAAAAAAATGGTATATTAGTAATTTTTATATATCTGATTCCGATTTCAATTTCAGAAAGTTTTAGTAAACAATATCAAAGAATTTTGATTTCGATTCTAAAAGATTTCTGGTAAACATCATCAAATGAATAATATTATCATTCTGATTCTTGGTAAACAAATATGGTCTTGTCACGTTAAGTTTTATTTGGAATCCTTCATCTCTCCCTTCCTTTATTACGGGTCAAAAATAACATTGTCATGTGGAAAATAAGGTCGGAAGGATCAAATCTCTCTTGAAGAACAAATAAGGGGAGACAACCTTCATACTTACCACTCAACGGTTGATAGACCTTCAACACAACAAAAGAAACCATTGGTCAGATAACTTGTCAGATGCACCTCCTACAAATAGAACGCTTCACTCCACTATTAGATATCACATTCTATGATTTTCTAAATTTATTTAGGTAATTTTTTCAAGATGATGACTTGATTGATTTTTTTTATAGTATTACTATTTATATTTCAAATTAAATCCACAAGAATATTAATAAAATTAAAATAAAAAGTTAAACACATAAAATATGAATGATAATAATTCTATTGTATAAAAGAAGTTGAAACACGACAATTTTATATTATAGTCTAAACTTTTAAAAGTAGTTTAAACATGACAATTTTATATTTTAGTCCAAACCTTTACTAACTATTAAATTTAAAATAATCTCAAATAGTAAAATTCATAGTATATAAGATGTAAAGTTAATAAAAAAAATTACCTTAGATCATGAGTTTCCAAAATTTCGACTCATTTAGATGATGTAAAATTGAAATTAAAATTATGCAAAATAAGAACRATGGAATATGAAAATAATGATTTTAAATAAGAAAAAAAAATCAATACAATAATTTACTTTTAAAAAATACCTAATGGTAATGTATAAATTAAAAATAAAAATGAGTCTTGAAATTGAAGGTAACAATTAGACCATAAAAGTCTTACCAAYCTATATATTCTCTTCTTTTTCATTTTTTTAAATCTACATATTNAGATTTTTAAATTGAAGTGTTGGCTTCTCTGGTACAAATCTTCTATAATCAATTGACTCAATTGTTTTTTTTTTTTTTCAACTCCCATTTTGCTCCTTTAACTTTACCAAAATAGTAATTTTGATCCCCAAAACTTTCATAAGGTTTGTTTTAGTCGTTCAACTTCAAAAAAATAATTATTAGATTGTTTCTCTACCTAAAATAATAAAATTTTGTTAGTAAATCTGTGTGGTTTGAAATTTGTATAGATATCCGAAACTATGTTATTAATTTGTTAAAATCAAAATAGACATAAAGACTGAAATGATTATTTTTTTTATCAATAAAAAAAAACAATTACTTCTTTTATGTTTTGTTTCACGTTAAGAATTTAAAAGAAATGATTTCAAATTCAGGGTTCTAAATTATAGAAGGAAACGAAAATAAAATATTTATTTTACCATTACGCCCTTATAATTATAAAACAAAATCCCAACAACCTTCCTCTATATCAAAACACTAGTATGAATTTTCGTCATCCGGACTCATCTCATTGCCTCCATCTTTTTTATTCCTCCTCTTCCTTCATCTCCCTTTTATTTCTTCATCTCCTCTTTTCTATCTTCTCTTTATACCTTATTCTCCATTTTATTTCTTCTCTTTTTATCTCATCTTCTTCTCCATTTCTCCTTCTACATCTTTCTCTCTTTTCTCTCTTCTTTTTTACATCCTTTTCCATTTTTTTCTCTTTTTATCTCATCTCATCTTGATTTGCTTTCTCTCATTTTATCTATCTCATTTTGGTTTAGTTTGATTTCTTCAATTAAACTTATTGCAAGGATAAAATTGTAATATAGTCAACTTTCAATTAAAATCCTAACAAATCCGACCTATTTTGGATGATTTTTTTTTTTGGAACAAAACGGGATTTCAAATTAGATTGGATTTCAAATTCTATTTTTTTTAATCCAACCAACATGAGAAATGATTTTAAAATCATTCTGACTTGAAAATCCTCCTAAATCCGAGCTTGCAAATAACGGGTTAAATATTAGGGACTAAACATATATATATTTTGAAAGTTTAGGATCAAAATTGAATAAACGTATTCTTTTGTAGGGCCAAATAAAAAGTTGAACATTTTAGAGTCATATTTATAACTTTAAATAGTTCTTAATAGGTGGTTGAAATTTTAAAGTTGTTTATATATGATTTATATATTAGACTAAATATATATTCGAGTTACTGTGTTATACCTTTCTCATTCGTGAACGTCTAAAAGTACATTTTAAAAATTTTTACATAGAACTTTAATAGGTCATTATTTTCACCAATTAAAAGTACATTTTAGAAATTTCCATAATAAAAATAGTTTTAAGAGTTATAAAAACATATTAAAAACAGACTTAAAGCGCTTTTAAATAAAACATTTAATTAATTTTGTTTCAAAATGATTACAAAATAAATATTTCACATAAAAACAATTTTTTCGAAAAACATCTTAAAACTCACATTTATTTTAAGATTTTTTAAAAAGTAAAGACGGAACAAACAACATTCTAAAAGTGCCAAAACGAGYTTGGCTCAATGATAATTACCTCCAACCAAGAGGTTGTGAATTCGATCCTCCGCCCATATGTGTTGTACTAAAAAAATCATTCCAAAAGTTAAACAACATCGGAAGTAAAGTTTACAAACATCAATTTTTTTAATTTTTTTTAACAATATAAATAATTTTGTCTCATAACTTTTTTTTAATTTAATTTACTTTTTTTCTTGCTTTAGACGATGTTTCTATGTTAAAGTTCAGATATTAGAATTCAAATGCCAAAAGAATCGAGATTTAAAAAATATATATTTCTTTATAGATAGAGTTAGGGATCGAAACTATAGTTGAACCAAGATATTAAATGATATCTGTTGTCATACTTAAAAAAAAATATATGCGTTTTTTTTAGTATAACAATATGTATGTCTTTTGGTTAGAATATATTCCTTAATAACTTGGGTTGACAATATCCATATTAATTAAATGTAAAATTCAATATAATTTTTATTATATCATTTTGAATAAACGAATTTATGATATCATACAAGTGAGGTTAAGAAATCAATCAATTTGCTAATCTCTCATTCTCCTCTCACCACCAACAGAACACTTCTCTTCCTTTTGTTCATAGAGTTGCACTTCTTCTTGTACTTCACCGAACACAATCTCATTTCTCTCACAGCTTCTTTTGCACCACATCTTTGGACTGGATGGATATGCCTGCTCTTCCCATTGATCGCCACCATCGTCGGCCCAAATGTGCCTGTAACGGTGGACGTTCTCGAGTCCCGTTGCCGTGTAAGAGTAAGGTCTGCTGGCCATTGTATGCAGCGGTTTGCGGTCGTGTGGAACTGCAAATCTTTCCTGCACGCCGAGCCGTGACTGCTCGATGTGGGGGTGGGATGGCTTTCTTCTAGCTCCAAGAAGCAATGCCACAAATATTTCTGCTGCTGATGAGCCAGTGTTGAGGAAAAGCTTGCAGAGGGAACAAATTATATTCTCTCCTGGTTGATTATCTTCTTCCTCTTCACTAGGAATGAAGGGATGCCTGACCGATTTCTTGAGTCTCTGATATGGAGGAATCGATGTAAAGTTCCTCGAGTTAGCTCTTGAATCCTGCAAAATATAGGAAGGCATTTCGAGAAAAGAGAAACAGAAGTTCAGGAAAGGTAGAAAACTGTGACTGCAAGTTTTGTTCTATGTCAAAGAATAGCCTGGCCACTCCCTCCTAGGGACAAAGCAGAAACATTGGTAGACATATTGAAACTCATCAGAAACAAATCTTTTTGTCTTAGACTCATTGAAACTCAAATTGAACCAAATTGTAAACTTTTGGTTCATACCTCGCGTCAAACTCATTAGGACGGTCAAAAATGTCAAATCTCAAATTCATAGAAATATGAGTAAAAATATTGAAAAAAAATATCAATGTTGATAGATAATATTTTACTGTATTGCAAACATTTGTCAGTAAGGCTATGAAATATCAGTTAAAATATTGGAAAATGTCAATGTTAGATGGATATTGCACTCTATTGCTACATTATCTATAACACTGTAATAAACTACAGTTTGTTTTGTAAGATTTGAGATGACATTACATTTTTTGAAGAAAACATTGCCGACACTCTACATTGCAGACATGCCAAAGTGTAACCCGAAAGCACGGCTGCAGTTAGCATAGCCATCCCTACAACAACAGAACATAGTTTAGATTGCTGAATATGAGAGAAAAAATGGCATCCAATGATGATTTTCTTTGGCTACAATGTACCTAAGAGGAAGCTACCATCATATTCGTCGGTACAATCATCAGTGCGAAGTTGAATCTCCCGAATTGCCTGGTTTCCTCTGTCAATTACCAGAAGCGAGCAGCTTCTTCCTACATAAACTACATCAAAATCATTGGAGAACTTTGCGTCTTCACTAGGACCATCAACATGGCCACTTTTCCTCCATTTGCCACCAGCAATCGTAGTAACTCCTGCAAAAGAACTATAAACGACTTATATACAATTAACAGATCCCAAAACTAAGATGACTGAATGGAAATTCTTCGGTAAACTAAATGAACAAGGAGTGGATAAGAGGCAAGATTCATAATCGAGGCACGCAACGCTCTCGAACTGATTTAGGAAAGTACCGGCATCACTGATTTTCCTTATAGCCCTGTTCTTTGTATCTGCAATGTAAATATTTCCTCTTTGATCCACTGTTAGCCCTCTTGGATGACTCATTCTTGCATCACTTAGCTTACCATCCACGTGTCCAGAGTATCCTTCAGATGATCCTGCGAACAGCTTGGACCTGCAAACTGCATATAGTTCCTGTTTTCAGCAAAAGAAAAAACTAGAGCGACCAACAGTTCATCAAATTAATAAGAGAAATTATACACTGGCTGAGTTATCGAACAATCTTCCCCAGCGAACCTGAGTGAGATGGCATATATTTGTTCATTTAATATTTAGATACTTAGAATATCGAATTTAAATCTAGAACTATAGCTGAATGGCTTATCACTAGGTAAGAGAAAGAGTAGAAGCATTTGCAGGATATTACAAATCATTGATTGGTCATAGGTGAATTTGAAAAATATGCTATTTATATTTTTATCAATATTAGAAAAAAAAGCAGGTACATTCCATTACCATAGACTGGTAGCTAAATTTCTAAATGACTCGTCAATTAGTCAACCACCTACCTAAAATATTAAGGACCCTCTGATAACGTTTATGTCTCTAGTTACTTATTTCCCATTTCCAAAATAATATCCTTGAAAAGTATATTGAAACACAACAACCATATAGCCAAATATACATGCCTTTCTTCTTCGTGAAGCTCAAACCCATTGGATTCGTAAAAAGTAAACCTTAATTAATTAATTTCGGTACGTCAAAGACTGGAATCATGGTTGCTAAAGCTGAAAGGCTAAGGGCTAATGAAGCTTAATATTGGTATAACATCAAACTAATAGATCACTAATTATGATGCAAAACTCAAAAAAGGGTAGTTTCACATCAAAAGGTGAGTGAGTCTTCTGCTAAACAAAAGCTTATGAATAAAGGAAAGTATTCTCATCTACAATTGGAATCAACTAATACCTTAAGAAAGCAAAGAATATGTTGAAAAAATAATTAAAAAATAATAATAAGAAGATGTCCAGAGTTTGAAGTAAAGGACTAGCAGCTACCACAAAGCTAGACAAAGAACAAACCGAGCTGACTGACAACCATAGCTATAAGAATACTAAATTTCCAATTGTAATTTCTGTATTTGCCACTTTTTTATATTTTGGTCATGGTACCAATTTCAATTTAGTTCAATACATGAAATGATTGCATATATTCAATGTTATGTCATGTCAATGTTTTGTTACTATTTAGGATTGTTTTAAACGTATAAGAACTAAAACGAGAAAAAGAATGACGAGAATGCTAAATGACAAAAGTGCCAAAGATAGAGCTAACCCGTGTCTAACTTAACAGCAAAGACATTGGTAACAACCATCCTTGCTGGTCAAAAATTCGAATTCTCGCTCCAATATTCATTATAAAAGTACCAGAGCTAGATATATAATCTAAGCTACACAATTGAACTGACAAATTAGTACAGCAAGAGGACTTACATTGAGAAAATGGCATAGTTATCTTGTGAACATTACTATTTTCTGCATCCAAAATCAGAAGATCCCCACTCGGAGACACCCCCACAGAGTAAGGCTCAATTCCCAGCTTACTACCATCAAACACAGTCTCAACAACATACCCCGTCTCAAACTTAATCATCGAACGGGTAGAAACGGCTGAAAAACCAATCAAATAAATAATGCCCAAAAATCCATTAAACACACAAAAAAAAACGCTCAAAATTAGGGCTGAGGAAACGAATCGAACCAATTTTAGAGACCGAATTGATCGCCCATATCCAATTTACAAGGGCAGAAACCGCCTTGGACAAAACCCCTGCTATAATTTCTGCAACGAAACGAAAACGCCTGAACAGAGATGAAGAATGAGGAGAGAAGATTACAGGCGCCGTACCTGTGGGCAAGCCAGAAACTGAAGAAAACCACCCAAAAAGGACCGCCAAAATGGCCGCCAAAAGGACCAAACGCCTCGCCATTTTCGATGTTTGGTTAAACAGAGAGGTAACACGTCGTCGGAACGGCGGGTAACATGGCGACGTGACAAGAGTATTCTTGTTGGGAGGGAGACTGTAGAATGGATCGGCGATGATTTTGATAAAAGTGGAAGTTGTTGAGATGAAGGGAAATGGCGGCGAAATGCGCCGAGGAAGAAGAAGAAGAAGAAGAGAGAAACAGGGGCGAGAGCTCTGTAAAAGAAAGAACTATCAAGACCCGCGAAAGGTGATGGTGAGTGGCTTTTATATGTTAATTTAAAACAGTACAAAATTAAATCTTTTTTTTGTTTTTTTTTTAAATTTTATTGCTTAAAAAAACTTTTGGTCATGAGTTTGTATATTCAAATTGGTAAGTACCTATGGGTAAGAGTTTACTTCCTGCGTCAATCTCAACTTATTAAAACATATACTTTCGATTAAAAAATCACAAATTTGACTCATCACCTTACATATTTTATTAAAAAAATAATTTAATCTCTATTATAACTTTTTTGTTAAGTTTTTTATATAGGTAAATCGATAAACTAACGAAAAACCAAATGTGTTTATAAATTATAAAAACTAAATCGATATACGATAAAAATCAACAATTAATTTTAATGAGATTTTTTACAACATAGGAATAGGTTATTATAAATTTTAAACTATATAAATTGAATTGTTACATTGTAAAGTCTGTGGATTGTTACCAATTTGAAAGTATAATGTTTAGGGAGTAATCATTACTTTAGCAAAAGTACGGTAATTAAATATGTTTTGCTATTTTTTTTCTTTATAAAAGAAAGTGTTGTCTAAGTTTTATTTCGTTTCGGTCCTAGTTTTGAATTTTCTATTTTAATCTATAAACTTTGAAAATTATTTTATTTGAGTTGTTAGGAATACGTTATCAAAYACAGTTTCAATAAATTCTTAAATTCAGATTCAATTTCTGTGATCCCCTACCAAACATATACTTGAAAACAGTGAATACATAATATACAATTTTTGTTTTCATTGAATCTATAATTTTCAAATTCATGTTTTTAGATAACGAACCAAACACACCCTTAAACTACTTATTGATGTTTCAAATGTGTGTGTTAACATTTTGAGGTAGGCATGTATCAGAACCTCTAGTCTTCTAGTTTAGACAGAGGTTGGATGAGACGTTAGATGACATAACAAAATAATAGAGGGTAAAACATAGTTGCCACATTTTCAACTTTGTTACACAGAAAAATAATTTCCAAATATGACAATTATTTCTCTTGTATATCATTGGTGTATTATTTTTGTATCATCGATAAATCATTAGAATACTTTTTTTTTAGTTCAACAACATTCAGGATGGAGATTTGAACCTCTTCTAAATAGTTGATGGAGTCTTCTTCAAAGAATGACCTTTTGGTCAATGATATATATCTTAATCAATTGAGTTTTGTTCAGGTTGGTAAATTAACTACCACTAATATATCATTTATGAGATAAAGTATATCATTGATAAACTTAATATAAAATATATCATTAATATACTATTTCTGTATCATTCTAAAGACATATCACTATTATATTATTTTTGTATCATTGATAAAGTATACAACGGATATATCTATATAAAATACATTACTAATACACATATATCGATCACATACAAATTCTTATATTTGTGCTGTTTTTGTAAAATTTTTTATCATGCGACTAAGTAATCTACTATTATTTAGACCAGACCTAGTGTTATCATGCAAGTCCCAAATAACATTATGAACCAAAATATTTAATTATTAAAAATTTATAAACTAAAAACAGACATTTCAAACGTTCGATAACAACAAGAGTTAAAAACCTATGAAATTTCATGGGCTAAAATGAGATTAAAACACATTTTTAGTGATTATGTATGTTGCTTGTTTTGTATTTTTTTTTCSGGGAAGTAAATAGGTTTTTTAATCATGGCTAAGTTTTAAGAAGATTTTAGCTAAATTTTAAAACTAATATATGTATATGTATGTACACATACACCGAGAAGTTAATTATTGAAAAACAAAAACAAAAACCAATAAAATACAAATATATATATATTTTTTAAATATTAAATCATAAATATTTGGTCACCATTCAAACATTTGATCTTATACATCTCAAACAAAAAAATTACTTAATAAAAATGATAACAGGAAATTAGAGCTTCAGTATCAACATTAATATATGGGACTAGGTACAAAATTACTCATCTTTGTGCCATTCTACTGTATCTTCTTCTTTTAGCTCCTTTCTTTGTAACAATGGTAAATGTAGTAATCACAATTTTATATAGTGGTACGTGGAATGAAAAAAATGGATACAACAATTTCAACATCTCTCAAATGTTAATCTGGAAGGATGGTACGTTGTTGTAACTTATCGAAGACATTAGGAAGAATATTCATTTAACAGAAGGTGAAAAAGTTTTATGCATATCATTGGTCAAGAATGATAGTCACAAGTCTCTTATTATAAGACTAGCTAAARATAAAGATGTCTCATGGTTTTTAACTATGTTGTCGAATGAGTTGGAGACAAAGTACTGCATTGTCGTTGATACTGTGGATACCCATATTGACTCCATATATGGAAGTGGGAAACTATTTCCGACGAATGTAAATATCGAAATTTACCCTAGCCATGAGAGTTCTACACAAGTGCACTCCACACTAGATAGTATTGTTGTAAACACTCCCATTGACCCCATGAATGGAGGTGAGACATCAGTACAGACATCCCACCATAAATGCAAGGAACTCATATTAATGGATCCGAGTCAAATTCATGGTTTCCCGTCCAACTTTGTACTGAAAAAAGATTGTGCTTTTCTAAACAAGGAAGAATTGAAGAAGACAGTTTACTTTGTAGCCTTAAAATGTAGTTTTCAGTTCAAAACAGTAAAATCCAACAAAAAACAGTTGGTTTTAAAGTGCAATTAGTACCTCCGTTCTTCTCATTRCTTAGATGGCAAAATATGGGTTATTAGGAAATATGTGGAGGAACATAGTTGTTCTATTGATGTTGTAAAGAATGATGGTTAGTTAGTGTGTGAAAACAATCATGGACATGAAAAATAACTGCTCGAGATATTATTAATTACACTTGAAAGAACCATGGTGCTAATATTACAAAGCTTGGAGAGGTAAAGAGAAGGCATTGGAATCAATTATGGGGTCAGCCGAAGAGTCGTACGCGCTCATTCCGTTGTGTGCATCAAGGTTGATCGAGAAAAATTCAGGTAACGTATATATATGTATTGATACTGTAGATCTGTTGTATATATGTATATATATCAAACGTTATCATCACAGTATATTTTTTACTGATTCTTCAATTTGGTGTGTATGTGTAGATTTACTAGTAATTATCATGCAGAAATGTATACAGCTCATGAGATCGACGTTATAAGCATATTCAAATATTTCTTTATGAGTTTGTCTCCTTCTATAGTAGGATAGAAACACTGCTTGAAGGATGCTGATTGGAGCAGCGGCGTCGAAGGATGTGGGCGGCTCTACCCTCTACAAATTGAGGAAGGTAATGTATTTTTTTTAGTGTTGATTTTTTTAAAAACAATAAAAATATTCCTCCCTAATAATATTTACTCTCTGATTTTGTAAATCTTATATCAAAGATGAGTAAATTTTAAAATCTACCCCAACACAATATTATCAATTTTAATAATATTTACTCTCTTGTTTTTTTTAGTTCTCTTCGAATTAATGTTGATTTTTTAAAAAACCTTTATTTTTTTTTAAACCATATTCCTCCCTAATAATATTTAATACCCTTCTTTTTTAAATCTTATATTAAAGATGAGTAAATTTTAAGATCTACCCAACACAATCTTATCAATTATTTTTAAATTTACTTTATTAGTAATTTTAAATTAGATTTAAGATAATTATTTTAATCTGATTTATTTTTTTTATTAGATAGGGTTGATTCCCTAATATTTTGTTTTTGTTATTCGTAAAAATCTTAAATCCCTACAACTATGCATATATACCTAATTTTGTTACAAAGGTATATTTGTCTGAACATTTTTTCAGAAAACCATTTAGCCATTATTGCAATACGTTTGACCATTTTTTAAAACGGGTTATTAAATTTGGCAATTCCTGCAATTGCCCCCATTATCTATCGCTAGTCATTCAAAATCTTTATTTAATCTATTTTTAAATTAATGGTTAAAAAATACATTTGATTTTTATACTTTGAAATAACAATTTAGTTCCTAAATTTCGGTATGTAACATTTGAGCCATGTACTTTCATTAGTTTGTACCATTTTAATCCTTRTAGTTTAAATTAGTAAAGATTTATTAAAAATATTGTTAGGACATTATCAATTACTCAAAGAGTTATAGACTAAATGTATTTATAAACAATAAAGACTAAATCATTATCTACTAAAAATTAATATTTCACTTAGATAAGATTTTTCATGGTAAAGATTAAATTGTTACAAAATATAAACTGTAGAGACTAAACCGTTACATATCAAAGTTTAATATTAAATTGTTGTAAACTTAAAAAGTATATGAATTAAACTAATGGACTAAATTATAACTTTAATGAAAAAAGTAAGGACCAAAAGTATTTTGTTAACCTGAATTAAATATACCACTTTCTTTAAATATTAAAATTTAACTATTCAATAAAATACGTCAAAGCGAGTATATAGTTCAGCGGTAGTTGACATACATCTCAAACCATATGTCCAACTAAAAAATTGTGACTTTTAATCCCTACCATTATACCAAAAAAAAAAAAAATTACAAATAAACATTTGAAAATTTTTAAATAAACTAAAAATAATTAGCATCACTATTATCTTCATATTAGTGATATTTTGTTTATTTTCTTTACTTTGTATTTTTTTTGCACTTATATAAAAATGTCAATTTATCCTTCGTATCAATGTCAAACCCAAAGATATATTAAGAAATGTTGACGAAAATTTAATATTCTAATCAAGAAGGAGAAATAAAAAAAGGCCTTTTAATTCCTTTCATTGGGTGGATGTGTAGAGTTTGGGAGGAAGCAAGTTGTAAAATTACAGAAAGATCAAAGCTTGGGCAAAAATGCTTTTATTATATACAATGAGAGACTAGAGAATGCACAAAGTGGAAGTTAACCAAAAAAGAAAATCAAACTTGGTAGATCATCCCCACTTCTAAAGTAGAAGCATGAGGCACACTCCAAGCATAACTTGGCCCTCTTGAGTTCCTCCTCAAAAAATCATACCCATAATTTATCACCACTTTCTTCACCCAACCTGATCCCCTCTTTGCCTTCACATATGAATGCCCCATTATGAAAGCCATTCCTGCCTCTCTTGCCTCCATTAGCTCTTGAAGCTCCCTCCTTGCCTCTACTTCCATTCGCGGGCTCTCTGGTACGACGAACCTCACTCTTTTCCTCACCTTTTGCGGAGATTTTATCTCCCTGAGCTCTGATGTCTCCGCGGTTTCTCCTTCATCCTCGCACATTCTCACTCCATCTACTTGTGTTGAAGATGTCCCCACCACTGTCATTTTCTCGCTCTCTTCTAGATCTTCTAGTTTGACGTTGGTTTCTTGC